AATCTAGACTAACATTTGAAAAGGGCGTAATTCCAAAATGACCATATCGAGAAAATCGCTTCTGAATTTTGTTGACCTAAAAATTAATCCTATTACACGACTTTCCATTTTCTGGTTGATTTTATAAGCTTGACATATAGTTAATAGTGTAATCTATCATCGTGCATCACTAAAAACTCAAAAAAAGTTTTCTTTGTCGTGAAATTGAGAAGAAAACATCATACGCCCTGATAATTTCATACATGTTGTTACCCCCCAGATCATCCACCCTTTGAACTGCCAACACTGGTGATACGCCGTGGAAGTACACCCTCGGGATTTTTTGTTTGTTGTTCCGCCTTGGTTCTTCGTTCGCAAATTTTGTGAGAGTGGAATTACGCCCGGAGATTTTTTGGTCTTCTTTTTGTTCGTTGTTTACACGTGAAATATCAATCGGATGCGTTTCAAATGAATCGGGCGTGACTAGATACTACAGAGTCAATACGTTTGGCATATTAAAACAATATAATTCGTTGTTCTGGTGCAAGGCGTAACAACCATATTCATCATAGATTTGAAAGTTGGAAATACGCCATGTAAGAAGAAACGTTTTTGGTGATTTGAAGTGATATTTTCTTCTACTTTTTCGTGTTTATCGAGAAGTTTGTGAACTATTCTCTCTATATGTGGCAAAATATGGTTTGTTTACATTTTGGCTCTTACGCCCCTTTCAAATGTTAGTCTAGAAATACAGAATAGGGGTGACAAACGGTCTGCACAGAGCAATGGATTGAATAGTGCAGTGCTTTCACACACAGCCTAGGCAGTCAATAATTTTAAGCTCTGACTGATTACGTCAAAAAGCAATTTGACTGGTAAATAAATTTAAAAACGGGATGTGATCCTATATTCGGACAGTATATAGTGTAATAGCAGGAGAATCGATTGACACTGATAGCTCGACTTTGTTTACCTTTGTTACTTTCGTCGTAATGAAAATTTGCTCTTGATGCAGAAGAAAATAATTCAAGCTGAACATTGCATTAGGTCCTAAGTAACATTGATCGATTCTCTTCGTCAATTTTCTCTTTCGTTAATAACTTGAGCACATAAACGTTTCTTGCTGTGTTTGTCGTATTAGATGCTAGATTAGATGCTTCTTTTATCGATCTGTGTGCTGAAAATACTAGAGAATGTCCTTACATGGCCGAGGGGATACAAAGAGGAAGTCGACGAAGAGAATCTGTCAATGTTACTTAGGACCTAATGCAATGTTCAGCTTGAATTGTCTAATGTCAGATAGGGGTGATTTAAGTTTTATAGTAGAAGCAGCCTAAAGAGCCGAATAAATATGCAATCAATTGTTAATGTAAACTAAGTCTTATGGGAAGGTACAGGGAGTAAATAAAAAAAACTCAAATTGCGACCGTCACGAAAAGGGGTTAGGCTTTAAACGGTTATAACTTTGTCATTTATAGATGAAATTAAAATCCAAATACACTATTCGATAGGAAATAACTCTACACATCTACTGAAATAAATGCTTTGTCAATTTTTCTTTAAAAAAATCTTTTGGAAAATGTTGTCATTGTTTTAATGAAATAATCGTTTTTCCTAACCCACACGTCATAATCGAGTACCACTTGGTTACACATCGTTCTGGTTGAATCTGTAAAGTAATACAAGAGCGGTGCTGTGCTCTAATTTTGAAATTCAATAACTAAGAGAGGCCACCGTGTTTGAAGTGAACCCCACACGTTTCAATATATTGACGCGAAGGGCTATTATTGACAATAATATTGATGATGTGAATAAAGAAATATTGTCAATACCGATGTATTGACGTCAATATAGAATGTATTGACAATACGATTATTGTCAATAAAAGCAATCGTGTAGGGTCCACTTAAGAAATATAATCCCCCTTTTATCCCAGTTTCTCCTGGGTGCCAAACATATTTTTCCCGGTTTCATATAAACGGCTAAACATTTTTAGAAGCCCACTAGGCCGAACGCTACTGAGTCGTATAGGTCATCAGACCGAATAGAAAGATGTTGTAAGTTCAAGTGATCGATTGAACTTAGAAATTCTTTTGAAAAAAAAACGGATCAACGGAATGACATTTCAGATCGCGGATTAGGATTTCTTTTTGAACATTATATGAAACAGTTTTACAGAGGCAATGGGTTTTTTTTTTACACTATTGAACTAGATTTCAGACTTTGGAAAATGTAAAATTTCAAGGCTTAATTTTCAAGAACTCTGATTAAAAAAAAATCTTTACTCTTGGATTTGGACAACATTTTAGGATTTTAACACTTTGAAGTATTGTCTAGTGAGAGAGAGAGAGAGATGTACCCCGTAGCCTGGGTAGATCACCTTTTCGTGGTACGTTACGGGATGTAAGATCTACCACCGATTCCTAGTCCTGACTACTTCAAACTAGGGGAACAGGATTTTTCAGTAATCCAAGGAACACATCTTAGTCCTTGTTACTTTTTATACCTTGTTAATAGTGACAAGACTCGGCTTTGTCCACCGAGGATGATCTTGAAACAAGGAAAAAATGAGTTAGTTAGTCTTCATCTATGGGATTCCTAATCTTCTATTCGTTGTTCCCTAGTTTGAAGTGATAAAGACTAGGGTTCTGATGCATGGTCATTATCGGTGTCATTCCTTAATTTTATTGCTAAGGAATCCAATTTTGACTGACAAAGGGGCGCGTCTTTGGAGAGTGTTTCAACACTCCGAAGGGTATAAATAGTGGGACCTTTCAATTAGAGTCGGATCCTTGCGATAAATGCGAGAATGACAACTGCAAATCGAATACTTCATCATTTCTCAATAGTGATGGAGTAATACGACATGCACTAAACTAAGGACACGGGATATACTACAATAGATCAAATTACTGGTCGCAGTAGTGTTAGGTCCCGAACAGAGAAAAAAAATGTCTAGAGAATTTTGATGAGAATGTCAACCGAGAATTGAGTAGAATTGTAGAGGAAAAATACGAAGAGGATTCTGAGGAGAAGTTCCAGGTCATTTTGAACAGTTTTACAAGGAAGTGTTAAGGACTTTTAAACTTAAGACAAAATCCAGAATTCCAAGGTACTCATGAATCCAGGGAATTCTAAAGCAAATGAGAAGGAATTCGAGCATTTTAAAGGAATTTGGGGGAAAATTCTATGTTAATTAAACCTACGAAAATCTTAATTATGATAATGATAACTACACCAAGCCTAAAATGATAACCTGCGGCAGAAAATATTTCAAATGTTAAGCAATCAATAGATCAATCAAAGATTTCACTGAGAAGAAGTTTGAGGAGAGCTTCAACATCGATACTAATTCCACAAGAATTTAATTCTGAATATAGCTATATATTTGCAGAATTTCAAGCAAGCTTCAAGGTAATTCCTACAAGAATTTAGAAAATTTTAATGAGAATTTCCGAGATGGTTTCAAATAGTTGAATTCACAGAAAAGTTTGAGCATATTTCCAAAAATATTTGGATTAGCGTGCGGACTATTTTGAAGAAATTTCCAAGGGTATTCAAAGGAGAGTTTCGAGTGAATTAATTAAAAATTCAAATAGGATCTCTTAAGGGAATTTGAGAAACATTTCAGAAAAATTCTCAGAAAAGTTCCCTTGTAACTCTTAAGTAAATTCAAAAGAAATTCTGGAAGAATTCTTTCCAAATTCAAACCAAGAGATTTATGAAAAATATTCCAAATGAATTTAAAAAAATATATATGAAGAGAAATTGAAGCAAATTGTCACGAGAGTTATTTTGAAGACAAAGATAATACAAGCTTACAGCATATTTGCTCTTTGTACTATGATGGTCATTACCCATTTTTTATTATTATTTTTTACCTTGCTTAAAGCTTAGCTGAAATCCATTTTTTCCCGGAAATATGCAAGCAAATAAAAAATCAACTCCCGGTTATGTCCGGTTGGTTACGACACTCGGTTAATTTCTGGATTTCCTGGATCAGTGGCCACCCTGATAACTGAATCCCCTTAATTTTCAATTAATGTGCACACTTAGAAATTATTATTTTTACACGAGATGTAATTTAGCTTTGACGTAAATCATGGAACGTAAACAAACATGGCATGTAAATTTAAGTGTCCTGAAACTGAAACATATGCAACTCGACGAAAAGTGCATTTGATTAAATTGATTTTCCCGTTCTTTTCAACTGATTCTTATGTCAAAAGGGCCGCTTGCATGTGTCGGTCTCAGGGCACTGAAATTTACATGTCTTTTTTGCAGTGCACCTTCTTATTGGAAACCAGACGTTTGATTTGAAAAAAGTCACTTCTACTTCTACTGTATTTTAAATTAATATGAAGAAAAAATGCACGAGAAGCTCACTAAACAGCTTAACGTAGTCTGGATCACGTATACGGTCGTGTCTTGTACACAACCACCCTTTTTTTTTTGTTTGGGACAAGGACGCACTGCGCCTTGTAATTTGATCTATTGTTGTATTCCATAAATTTCGTGCAATCGTACAATCAAGTTCTGAGTTGAAAATATCTAATTAGTGTGAGACTGGTCTATTATCAGTTGATGTTTAGCGAATCTCTATGTTATATATGTATATATAGGAATTTTAAGAGCCTACACAAGTATGTGGTGGAGAATTCTGTGATTCTCTATTAAATTCCAAAAGAGATATTTTCGCAAGCGGTATACTTGCCAGCTATGTATTACTAATCAAACGCTGTTAGCTTTATTGTTTCTAGAACTGGCGCTGTTCTATTTTCCCAATAATATGAACAGACGCAAAACCTTTACCCACATGCCCCGGAGGGATAAAAGCAATAAAACAAGCACTCTTACAACGGTATCAGTCCGATCAGAAGATAACCAATGGCCATCATGTTTCACAATTTCCTATCTCCTATGGGCGGTGAGCCCATCATGGCCGGAAAAGTCCCATGTAAGCACTTTTTCTGATATGAGAATGATTTATGACCGTCGTATGTAGTGGTTAGAATACTTACGTTCTTTCGACTAGCAGCCACGCAAATAATCCTCTGATGAAGCTGTCCGTCTGTTTGTCAGTCAGTTAGTTTTTCACCCTTTCTCTTATCCAAACAAAGCCAAGAAAGGGGAGGCTGATGTTGATTAGTGAAATTGAGTGCTAGAAAAAGTCTTTGCTCTTTTTCTCCACGCAGTACTCGGTCAGACGAGGGGCACTAAGAAGGAGGTGCCTTCACTCCGTCCTCTCTAGACCCTGTCGTCTTCGTCGTCGTCGCTGCTACTGGAAGCAACCACTTCCGACGATTGCTGTTGACACAAATCCCGGCTGGCCACTGCCAAACTGCACATTTTACCTACAAACTCTGGTCCCTCTGTGTCTGGGTCGAGCTCGACTTGATTCGCGAACTCAATCGACGACGTAGGATGGTTGTAACCAAATTATAACTTTTTCCTCCTACGTCAGATTTTCACTATGTCGCCGTCGTCAACTGCCATTCATCGTCGAACAAAAGAAAACTCCATCCACTTTAAGCTTTTCACTGCCCTACGGAGAATCCACCCACAAGCACGTCAAAATCCTCTGATTCCTACTTCAAGCGAAAACTAATCACATAAAATGATAGTGATTGACCAGATCAGAAATAGAGAAACAGACACGCAGAGCCAGAAGCATCCAAAGAATCGTAGCACCAGACGCAGTCGTTACTTCCAGCAGAAATTGCAGAGAGTCCCGTGCGATCCGTTCCGTTCCGACGGAGAACACACCACCGCCGCCGCCGCCGGTCGTGGATTTTCCTTGCGACGCAACTTTGGGAGGTCACCCTCGCGGGCGTCAAAGCAGACACACAAGAGGCAGAGCACACCACAGAGAGCGAGCGCGCGAGAGGCATGAAGAGACTGAAGCTCGGTGCCACTTTCGATGTTCAGCTGACCTGGCCCATTTGATATCGGTTGTTCGATTCACCGCGCCGTCGCCGTCGTGCAATTCGCCCGATGAGTAGACTTCCCTTCCAGCGAGTGCACCACGGACGGACGACGGATGGGAGCTCACTCACAGCTGACTGTGAGTTGATAAGGGGGTGGATGGATGGATCGTAATCGAATCGCAGCCGCTGGTGAGCGTGGTGAGAAAATTGAGATGGCGATGAAGTGAGAAAACAGAAATTGGACCGTTGAGTTCTGTGGGTAAATGCATGGAAAACTGTGAGCTGATGAAGTGGCGGCATGTCGGAGCTGGAAATAAATGTATCGAAAGGTTGTGAGTATTGTGGAGAACCAATACTTAGCTGGAAGGTAAAGTTGCTGATGTTCTGAGCAGACTGAGGAAAATGTGATGCTCATAATGAGTTTATTGATTGAAAGCTCGCAATTCGGTTGCTGATTCTATTTGGTAGATGGCTCTGCATAATAAATAACTCGCAGAATGTACAATTCAAGTAGGGAGAACAGTCCATGATGCACTCCTGGGGTAAAATGGCCCCACGCGGTTTTTGGTTTCTTTCCCGTTACTTATTATGGAATTTTATTCAAGTACTGAACTAGCATTTTGCTCGTTAAATTCACGAATTAACAATCGGAAATCTATGAAAAAACGTGGGCCATGTTATTCCAGTTTCTTATAGTTCAGTCACATACACTAGAATTCATGACATTCTTTTTCATTGCGAATTTGAGATAGATTGTTAAAATATTAGAAGGAGTACATTAATAGAAACTCGTGTAAGCAGTGTGTAATCGGCCGGTCACCGCTTCTACTAACTTAAGTATTAAGAAAGATTGTAAATAGTATAATCCCTCCCAGTGGACACGCACAGTGGGGTACAGGTACACACTTAATCTAGCTCGGTAAAATCTCCAGCAGCCGATTACCTCGGCATTTACTTTTGGTGATATCTCCTTGGGGCAAGACAGCTTTTGATCATGAGTAAAATCGGAGTTAATTTTGAGTAACTCTGAGTAACTCGCGTTGCTCAACATAAAATACACATAGCAACCGATACTGTCAAGCAAAGCAAAGCAACAACATTTTAAACGGTGTGCTTGCAATGCTTTACTGGGAACATCTTTCAGCAATTAAAAGGCAATTGCACGTGTATGAAAGGAACTACAAGCTGTCCCCTAAAATTCGATGGAAGATTTCTATGGTGACCTTACGAAACAGTCAAAGCTGTCTTGCTTTACTGCCATGCCGATGGCGTTTTATTAGGGGGATTTTGTACAATCTCTAGGAGAGTTCCAGTCAATCGCAAAGGGGATTTATGACAGTCTCAGTAGGGATTCCGAACAAGCCTAGGGGGAATTTCAGACAATCCCAGTTCGGTTTCCCAACAATATCAAAGGTAACTTCGGAAAATCCAAAGAAGGAATATGAACTATCCCAGGGAGGATTCCGGACAATCACAGGAAGAATTGCATTCAATATTGACGGGGATTCATGACTGCCCAGGGGGGATTCCATATAATCCAGTCAATCCAAAGGTTGATTTTGGACAATCCCAGTATTAAAAAATGGTATGTGATGGTTCCTACATCCTTTCGACGATCGCTCATTGACAAACTTCATATAAGTTTCAGAATATAATCAACTATGCAGTTGGCCAGAACTAACCTATTTGGACCTGGGATGAACAATTAAATAAAAGACTGCATATATAAATAAATATCGATCAACACAACAACACCAGACGATGAAAATTCAACTTGTTCCTGTTCAACCTTTTTCGACTCGTGTCTATTGATGTCTTTTTGCAGGAGTATCAGGGAAAACAACGAACGCTTCTGGAGAGAGTTGACCCTAACTCTGACATTTTCTAGCTAAATATTCTCATAGATTTAAACCCCTCTTCCTTAATGAATGCTGGTAAATAAAATGTTGCTTATCACGAAAGAGTTTCCTTATTTCAGGCATGTAGTGCAACAAAATATGAAACCTCTTTGACCGATTTTAGGAGATTGAGTTTTAATTTTCATAAGCTAAATTAATCTTCTGAAAACATTTGGCCAAATTCTTACTTCCTTAGTCTTGAAATCACACCATCTAGTGTTTCCTTCCCGGGCAATTTACCAGAATTATCATTTCCCGATTCCCAGAAAACTAGTTTGACTTCCCGAGAAGCAGTTTTTTTGTACGAAAACCATGTTAAACATATATTATATTAAAAATGACCACACAACTTTTGGGGAAAATTGATGAACATTTCCGGAGAAAGTTTGGCGAATCTTTAGTGCGAAGTCAAGAAAGCTTCCTGTCGAAGAATCTTTCAAACGAAACAGGTAGACGCTTCTGACACAAACTGTGAAAAACTCCCGGGCGAAGTTAGAAGAGACTTCCATGCAAATTTAGGAAGCCGGATGAAACTTTCAGAATAATTCAAAAAAGTTTTCCGTGGGAAGTCCGGATGAAATGGGAAATAGTTTCCACTTTCAGCGGTAGGACTTCTGATTGTAATCTAGGACTTCTGATTATAATCTGATACTGTTGGAATGAAAAGCTGATGAAACTTCCGTTGAACAATGGACGAAGGTGGAAGATTCTTCCAGGGCAATTTTGAAAAAAAAAAACTTCCAGGGGATGTTGGAAGAAACTTTCGTGCAAAGTCAGACGAAACCTCCCAGAGTAATCATAAGAATCTTTCCGAAGAAGCTGGTCGAAATCTTCAAGGGGAAGTTGGAAGAAACTTCCAGAAATTGTCGGAAAAATCTTCCGGGAGAAATCCTGACGAAGTTCAAGTTTTAATAAATAACTACCGAAAATATTTCCCGATTTCCGGGAAGAGTCTTTAGCTATTTTAAGATTCCCGGGTTATTATAAATGGCTGGGATATGGAAACACTAACACCACCACATCACCAAAAACTTCAAAGACATTACAGTATAGCCATCCATCCTAGAAAGCAAAAGAGACCTAAACATCCCTTGGCTTGGACAAGAGCCATCTAACTTGGATCTTTTAATGAATGAAAACTAAATCTTGAAATCAAAACATTCTGTCAGACGGGGATTGTTTGAACATTATTTGATGAAAAATATTAGACTATTTTGTTTGTTTTTGAGTAAATATTGAGTAACTCAAATTTACTCACAGCAAATATATTAACTCTGAGAACAGTTGTCTTACCCCTAGGATATCTCTGCAAAATATATGTTTGTTAGCGGCAATTGTTTTGTATATTTGTTATATTTGCATCAACAGACTAGAAATAGTCCCAATGATGTGTTGTAAAAAAAAGTACAGATTATACACATATACTCAAGGGGTAGGTCACTCCACACACCAATCTTGGGTCATCTTTTTTGTCAGTGTGCCGCAAGTATGCCGATTGTGCCGGTCATAGAGCAAGCTGCGATTGTTTGTAAAATACCCATCCCGACAACCCGGTATTTCTGGCACCTTGAATGTTTTGGTTTGAAATCGCAAGGATAAATCGGATTGACGATGACGCGGGAAGTGGCGAGTGTGCGAAGTTTCGGTGTTTTGTGATCCATAGGGTAATAAAAGTCCTGTGTTTTATTGTTTTATAATGCCCTCAAAGGCAGACCCGAAACCTAGCCTTTCGGCCGGAAAGAGTTGGAACCGATGGGGAAAATGGTTGGAGACCGACTGTGGAGGGTGAAGCATCGACTTCTTTAGTTTGTTTCGTGTGAGTTGCAGCATTATTTGAATTAAGGGTACTAATGAGATCTGATTAACTGCCTCTTCCTCTTCAGTCCACTCTAGAACCTACAATTCGTATTTAGATCTATAAGTGAACTGGTATATTCAAATAGAAGATGTTCCTGAACATACAGTCAAACAGCACGTAATGTTCAGAACAACTTTAATGACCTTTTGTCCAGCAGTGTTCCCATTTTATTTACAACAATCTAATGCCTACGAGATTGTGCCGGAGGTATGCCGAAAATGTGCCGATGGATGTGCCCAAGCTGTGTAGAATATAATTCCGGCACAATGTGCTGAGTGATTTATCCCTTGCATATACTACAGTTACAAACGAAAATAACAAGGAAAGCATTGTCAAGTTACTAAAAATGTATTAGTCTAACATTTTACACTTAGGTGTTGGGCGTCAAGCGCCTTGGGTCAGCGAAAAATTCAGAGAATCTTCGGCGAAGCATATTCCGTATCAGTTTCTATTTTATCATTTACTATCACACGCAAGGAGTAGCGCTTCAACCCAGTGTAGATGAGTCGCGTTTGTTTTGAATATCTTCGCAGTTACGTAAGAGCGAAATGAACAAATGAGTTCATTATAAATCAACGAATACGTGTTTGTTGATATTCTCCAGTGCTTGATTGTCCAACCCAAAATTTTCAAAATCAGAAATGATCCTCAAAATAATCAAATTCATTTTGGGCAAAATGATTATTTTGAATATGGTCGACTCCAGAGCCTAAACCCGGAATTTTATCATCAATTCAGCATAAGGCAATAATTTGCCATCGGCTTGTGTGTAAAAACTAACACAACACGTCCTGCAGCGCTATATTTGTGTGAAATTAAAATAATCATTGTGCATTAGATCCTCAAAATCATCCTCACCAAGATGAAAACGAATATTAATATTGACAACAACGGAGGCGATAATGAACATTCAGCCACGAATGAAGAAAAACAAATGCCAACATTTCAAAGGGGCGTAATTGCTTTTGTAAACCATTACTTTAACCGTCAATTTCTCGCGAATGAAATCTTACCTCTCCAAAATTACAATGCTAGCTGGTAAAGGAGACATTCCTCTACCTGCTGGTACCATTATTTTTCATGAGTGAGGTTTTATTAGCGAGAAATCGACGGCTAAAGCCATTGT